GGGAATCCCAAGCACTTTGAGAAGGACATCACATATAATGACGAGATTGGAATTAAGGGAAATGTATCCAGTACAAATCAACTTTGTTTCTATTTAGAATCTCAAATTTTGAAAGACATAACAAGAAAGAAAAAAATTCTTGATTCCTTGATCGAGCATTGATCTAGTATAACAATAACAACTGTCTTAGTTGTTAAGAGCTCCAACTGTAATAAACGCTTCAACTCGAACAATTACCTCTAACAGCTCTAGCAAATTATTATATCTCCCTACATGACCTCAAAACCTCCCAACAGCCAAACTACTATCAGCATTCTCTCAATAGATGGAAATCACGTGAATTCTCTTTATAATGGAAATGGTATAATTCACATTTGTTAATACTTTGCAGCTTTTATAGCAGCAATGAAATCATACTAGGAAGACATCAGCATGTGTTGGGTTCCTCACAATCACATCTTGTATTACCAAAACAAATCCTAAAACACCAACATCATCCTCAACTTTCTCGACTAAATTTTTATTCCGAAATAAATAAAAACATGGTATGCATCATTAATTACAAGCACCAAGGAGGTGTCAATTCATGTACAAAAATATTTAAATATCAAATAAGATATTAATAAGATCTCCTAAATCCTCCATGGAGTACAAAGGATGACCCATAAGTGAAAAACTCAAGGTCTGAAACCATCTGACTCTAACCCTATCGAGATCCTCTTCCATCCCTTCAAAAGCTCTTCTGTTTCTTTTTTTCCACACCACCCAAAAGATTGTAAGGAGAACGAGACTCAACTGTTTTTTCCAACCACTAATACCCTTCCATGCTCATATCTCATCTCTTACAGTACCAACCATTACCCAACTAATCCCCAAAAACCCGTATGCCATAATCCACATTATATGCAAGAGGTCACCGTAGTAAATATGTTCACAGATCTCCTCCATCCTCTGACACAGAATAATAATCTGGATTTTAGGAAAAGACATCCTTCAGTTCCACAAATGAACTAGCAACATCCAAAAAAAAATAAACTAGAAGAAAAAAAAGCGGGCCTAATCTCTGTTGGTTTCTAATACTATCTAATTAAATTCAGAACTCGTCCAAGCCGTAATTTAAATCAGGCACAAAAATTAGGAAATTTTGAAAGTCCGAGGTTTATACATAGACATGAATTTTGCCATCAATTCTTTTTCTGGGACTTTAGACAACAGGAACAAAGATAACAGTCCAGCCTTATGGTTGCAGCAAAGGAAGCCGCAGAAGTCCAGCATTTCAATATCTAATTTCTTTTCCAACGTTTTCTCAGCTAACAAACAGGACAAAGAGAACGGAGGAATCATACAGTGTGACGAGCCGCACGGAGGAGAGGAGTGGCGTCAGAAAGGGAGGTTATACATGCACGAGGGAGAAGAGAAATAGGTTTGACT